AGCGGTTGGCGAGAGGTTGTGACCGCAGCGGCTACCTTGTTAGTTCAGTCGGCGTTCAAGCCCTGAGCACTCAGTGAGTTGCGAGTGCTCGCTGAAGTTGACCGAGTCTTCTAAAAAGTTATTCCATATCTTTAACCGAAAAGTGAAAATAGATAAAAAGTTTGAATCACCGGGCTCTACCTCGGACAGAGCATGTCAAAGAAGCCGATGGCAGGCCCGTGAACAACACTACGCCCGCACGCCATGCAACATTCGTTGGAGTACCCAACAACAGCTCAGTCATAGATCAGCAACCATCAGCAAAATACAGGCGCAGCAGCATCAACTTCAGGAACAGCACAACGAACTGCTACAATTGCAAACAAGCAAATTCAGGACCTTAAACGCAAGTACAAAAACAGCCAAACGCCTCAAGTTAGGCCGCCCTTGCAACACAGATGCCACCTGCCCCAATAGAAACAAAGTAGCGCAAAAGACAAAATAACTGCGATCTGGTTATCACCGAATATGCTATTCCTACAGCAAACAAGGTTCGGAAACATAATAACGCATACAGATGAGGACGAACAATCAGCACTGCCGCGAACAGTTTGATCAAAAATTCCTCCAATAATTATACACCAAAGCGCGAAAATTTTCAACTCGTTAATAAATGCACATTTAAAAAATGTTAGTTAAAGAAGATTTTAACAACAAAAATAGAAAAGGCAGACAGAGTTGAAAAGTAAAACTTAATTCAAATAGAAGATTTCAGAGTTCTTCGTAAATTTTAGCAACGAAAAACAACATAGAATACCACACGTTTCGTGACCCAAGCATTAAAAACATTTCAATCATTATTAAAGATAGTTCACCACACTATATAGTGAAATAGAAATCTTTCAAGAACTAGTTTAAAAAATAACCAGTAATCAATAAGAACTCGCCATGCACGGAAAAGACAGAAAAACCATTTAACAACAGTGCCTGTAGATTTAGAGCGACAATAACAGGAAGCCGCAGCATTCTAGCATTAGATAGATTTTTATATAGCTGTTATTAGGGTATTCCTAGATCCCAACCAAAAAATTACCAATTCAGCTGTAAAAACTGCCAAAGATTGATCACCACTCAAGCTAAACTGTGGCGCGCTTCCCGCAATGCGTTAGGTGTAGGTAACCACCATGTATCAAAAATGCCACGGAACCTAAAACAGAAACAAAGTTCCGAATTGCGCGTAATTGTAAAAAGAGCACACAGGCCAAATTGGAAAGGGTGGCTGAAGTTTATCAGAAACTGCTAAAAAATCAAAACAGAGCGGGTATAATTCAGAGACGACAGGCTGTTAATAAACAGAGAACTGCCCACGAGAGTAAAAACCTTGACCGCAAAAAACCCCAGTCCCTCAAAAATCATTCCACAAGAAACAAGCCCCAACGCAACGACCTCCCATAAATCCCTGCGTTTCAAATCCCTCAAAGACACTTAACCAGCCAAGCCCCCCCGTGAGCGAACTCCAATCTCCCCTCTACACCAAGGTGAGGGTAATAACTTACAATCATCAACCAAGTAATAAATGAACTCATTCCACAAATACAAATATTAATACAATCAGCCCTCGATAATGGACGTAAATAAAAATCCAGAAACAAACATTCTCAACTGCGAACGCGAACGAATAAAAAGCAAGAAAAATCAATACGACACTACTTTATAGCAAGCGCACAACATTTAAAAATCAGCTTGTATTTCAGGAAACTCACCTGTTACCTCAAAATCAAGTTCTCAATACCAGTTTTTAATATCTAATCGCAAACGACCGTCTCTCAGCGGCACGGGCCGCAGGAGGAGTGCGCCATACTAGTGCCACAAAGATATAAAACTACGCTTAATTAATAGTCCTACGAGCAACGACCTAAGTAAACCATAGCAATAACAACCAAAATAAATAACAAAGACACAACCATTATATCGGCCGTATAAACCTCCAAATAAGCAGTTCCCTTAGAAAAATATATACTGAAATTTTTATGGACGAAATAACGATAATATTCATGCTAATAGCGTGGACCCTAAATAAGCAAACACTGCGGTTGGGGATGCAACACAAACAACTCCTCAAGGCAAAATTTACTTAAAATCTAGCCTACGCACTCTGCAATTTAGTATTAATGGCCCCAAATAGAACCCACCCATTACCCTTACAACACTAACTATATTCCTGACATATTAGATATCCTCATCACAAAAAAGATGATTTTCCGCTATACCAAAAAGTGATTCCTGAACTCGACTCGATCACAATCCAATAATCATAATCATTTCATCCTACTCTATCTATCATCTTATTATAAACAAGCAAAAGGTAAAATTAACTGGTTTAAATTCAGAGAAATTTTAAAAGATTAACTACAAACATCCGCAAACATTCAATCCGAAAAAGACTTACGATTAATGAAGTAAAACCGAGTAGTCAGCAACAATACAAGGATCCCTCACAAAATTCTACCACATATCTCAAAATAACAAACCAATGATTACAAGCAACAAGTCCCAATAAAAATCATAAACCCTTAATTTAAAAGTAAACACAATTTTAAGACGCTATTGAGCAAATGCACACGACACCAGACTTAAAAAGAAAATTAAACAAACTGACAGACTAGTTAAAAACTAAACTAGACCAGAACATAGAGTATGCAAGCTTTCAGACTTTTCTAAAAAGAAATTCACCCGTCATCTAGGCATATTGTGCGTCTACCATACATAGAATAAAAAGACAAAAAACAAGAATTTCCACAATTAAACTAGGTTCACAAGTGCGCAATTCTGATTATGAGAAAACATCTCTTATAGCTGACTACCTTGAAAAGTCGTTCAACCCAAACCTCAGTCGAAAAACGATCACTTAATAAACAAGTGAGGGAATTTAATCAAGAAACCACTATATACAGCTCCAGTCAATATAAAAGTAACATATCCCCATCAGAAATTAAAACAAGTAAATCAAAAAATCAAAAACTTAAGAACAATCAGCAGCGATACGACGTTATTGCTAATAAAGTTCTAAAAGAAACTATAACCAATTCCTATAGCAGGCATTACAGCAAATTAACGCAGCACTCAGAATAGTTACTTCCAACGAATGGAAAAATCGCAACAGTGCTACCTTCGAAAAGCCAGAAAAGGAAATCCCAAAAGATCCCAGCAAAACCCATATAGAAAACCCAATACCTTCTAAAAAAAGATGTAACATGAATTAGGCATACTGGGAAACCATGTATAAATAAAGCGCGCCTGGCATTCTACCTCAAAGGCGGTGCGGAAATGAATGCACTATTTTATTTTATATTCTTTTGAGTAAGTCAAATAACGTTAATTTGTTCTCTATTTAAAACGAAAAAAAATACTTTCTAAATGGGAGCTTACGTTAAAATTGAACTTGTTCTGCACTTTAAAGTTGACATATGTATTGTTTAACTACTTTCCCGAGGCGTTTTGTCTTCAGCAAATTTAAACAGGTCTGAGACGCGTTTTTCGTGGCTGCACCAACATCGAAAAATGTGATCAGATCGTAGATGAGCTCATTTATAAATTGTATCTATGTTGTAATAAATGTTAAATTATTATTTTGTAAAAAAAGAAAGGTTGACAATCTGTAGCTAGTTGGCCGTCAATTCAAATAACCAGTTTCAATCAACAGGACTTTCAGCAATCCTAATTCTCTAGAGAATTTCACGTCCACATATGACAGGTAAAAAGGTAGCGTGTATGTCGAAAGGCACAAGCAAAAATAAAAGTAGAATGAAGATAACAACGTTTAACACTGATCACATTTGAGCATAGAAGGGCAAATAAATAAATAAAATAAATAAAAGTAGAGAGATTCATTCTGTCGTGTTAGTTTACAGAATTAGTAAGAAAGATACATCAGGATTAATTAGTATTATTTATTATATATCAGGAAGATTTGTAGTACTTCACAAATACCTTGCACAATGTGGGGCAACAAAAGTAGACAAGTGTAAAAAGTATTAAGTATATCATAATAGATATTAGTAGATCTTAATATTTTTAAAATTTGTAATATAATTGTAAAGTAGTAGGGCCTTTCAATTGTAGTAGGTGTCGTCCAACATTATAGAGTAGAATGTAATTGGAGATATTTCTATTTCGTGAAGGCAGGTTAAACCAGAATCTTCAATCCTGATATTGTTCGTGTAAAATAATAGTGGTAAGTTGAAGGCGTGGAGGAGTAATTTTGCTTTGTATAGAATCGCGAGGAAAACACCATGGAACGGCCGTAAGCGTATCAAATATAAATTTGTTTCAATTGAGATATGTGGAATCCGAGTACTCAGCCTTTGTGCCTGAGACAAACATTACTTTTGCAGGGTGCACTCGACGAGACATAATATTACATAATCTTTACATGCTTTCATCTTCTATACTTCCTAGTCTATACTGAGTAATTGTTCATCTGTGTGGGAAAGAAACCGTTAGAATAGACGACTAATTACATCTAGGTTCCGTGACATTTTCTAATAATGAATACATTCTAATATTAATTGTTAATTTTATTTTCCTAAATCTCCAGATATTTATGGAGATCACTGTTCATTAGTATGCATTTTTCAATGGATTGTGCCTAAATCACATATACTCGCATGAAGTTCCCTGACATTGTTCCTTTTAATTTGATGAGTTAAATTGTTGTGAGAAGTTTACGATTTTGAATTATTGTTTTTCAACTGTTAATGCTAATTTAGCTTTGACTACAAATGAAGAACTTCAAGATAGCAATAGGTTTCTTCGATGCATACATTGAACTGAGAGTCACTTTGTCTGAGGCACTTCCAACAATAAAAAGGACGCAAATCATTATCAGTTGACCTCAAGCCTTCTGAAGTTGAGTAAGGGAAGCAATGCCTAATTCAACCCCAATCGGTGAGATTGAGACCACCAGCACAATCTCTACGAGAGCCTTCCAAAAGAAAGATATCTGACCGGTGCATTTTGATACATGTGGAATAAATTTTACTATATTATCTTTTTGACTTTGAACTCAATGCATTTAGGCATAAAATCTTCAAATTATATTCGAAGTCGGGTACAAGAAATTTTAACTTATGGGAAGCTTGTTTTTTACCTTAGAGCAGAAAATACCGTTTATGGATTATTGGTACAGATGGTTTTGAAATATACTAGAGTATCAGAATGTTTCAAAAGGCAATTCCTTGTTATTTCCAAGTGTATTTAGTTCATTTGCCACGAAAGGCAAAATCAGATATCATAGTAGTGAATGAAACATAAGTTTGAAAAAATAAAAAAGGAAAGGAATTAGTCTTTGTTGGAAAAAAATTATTCCAGTTAAATAGCTTACGTTGTCATTTTGATCACTTTCCAAACTCGCCGTCTGTCCACGGCTTCTTCTTTATTCATGAAATGTCATCGGCTGTTGGAAAGAAGCCCCCTCCCTTTGTCGACAGCTTGATTACCTTCTTCACTTCACTGTTCGTTATCTTCAATGTCTTCTTTGGTTTTGCATCTACGGTTCATTGGATTGTGACCTATCTTCCATCACTGCAATTAGTTTCGTTCCTCATGAAGGGTAGGCCATGTAATTAGCAGAAGTAGTATTTTTAAGAACGACATTTTCGTTGCTTTGAAATCGGTTGTACTGTGCAGACGTTCACAGTTACGATCAAGAGTACGTTGCATTCTCACAATTGCAATGTTATCTGCAAATCCTGTTTATTTCGTATAATACGCCAAGAGAAGATTCGGTTCTGAACCATATATGAGTAGGGAACAGAATTTATTGTAATTAAAGAAGCAAAATATGTACATATAAATGTATATATTTTTTCCAAAATGTGTAAGAAAAAATAGAAAACATGTGAAATAAAAATTCGTTATAGTGTTTCAAATTGGTCTACGCAAGCATTCTCGTCGATCAGATCTTAAGACGAAATCGAGGCGGCTGAAAAAAGTTGGAAAAAATTAATTGGACACTAGTGTCCAGCATGCATAAGAATTTTATTCGAAAAATAAAATACGATCGTTGCATATAAAATGTTCTTTACTAGGAGCCGGTGCTCGATTGAATAACGCGCCGAGGTGGATGTCCACATGCCTATGTGGGATACAGAGACGATACTCGGTCTTCCTTTCTCCGTATTTTATGCTGTGGATTTTCAATTTCATGTCATTAACATTTTTTTATCACTTCGTTTTTCTTCCTCGCTTGCCTTCTCTGTATTCTGAACGGTCACCCATGTCTTTGTCGAACAGGGCGACCCGTGTGGAAGAGAATTAGTGACCTGATGTTGAGGGGTCTGCGTATGTGTTTCTGTCTGTCGCCTTGTCGCTGGTTTCTTGTGGGTAGATCCGTTCTAACCATGTTCGCTGTACGAACACCGGTGAGCTCTGGCGACTGAAGGGAGGTCTCCAAACCGCTTACTACTGCCCCGGTCTTTTCTAGCCGAGCATTCAGTAGCTAATCAACCGGTTCGGACTAGGTCTGTGACAGACGCAGCGAAATTGGGGGGATCATGGTGTTCCCCTGCGAGTGTGCGGTGGGGAAAAAGCCCTGTCTCCTTGTTGGTCTTCATTGTGTGTGAGGGATGAATTGTTATCCCTTTTCATGGATTCGAAAACATCTCGAAAGCACACAAAACACATCGAAAACGAACGATTTATTCTCCTCTTTTCAAAGGACGTTCCAGAATCCCTTCCCAATATTTTAACTATAAATAGTTGCAAGACGAACAAAAGATAAAAATGAATAAATTGTAATACAATTAAAAAATAGTGAGATTAGCACATTTGAAAAACTAGACATTTTCGTTCCCGAGTTACAGAAAACTTACTTGCATCGGTAAACGAACTCCAGATTTCATTTTTCTGCATTGCTAACAAAATAGTAACTCCCCCCCCAAACTCTACTCCTACCACTACAAGCAAAACGAGAGTTCAACAAAACGCGTGCATAGTAGAGCTACTTCTTCCCCATACCCACATAGTTATTACTGTTGCTGTACTTTACCAAAATAAATAAAATTAAATTAAATCGATTGCTGGATGGGAACTTCCCCTTCAGTCCTGCAATCTGCTTATGACAAAGTCAATAGAAGTTCGGAAATACCTGTTAAGGTGGTAAACAGGCGCACATGCAATTTGCAACAAACGTCACTCAACACTTTATAGTGTTGCATAACTCGGAACAAAGCGTCTTGGGTTCTTGAAATCTAACTTCGGTGTCGAAGGACACAATGTTTCTTGTGATATTCTACAAAATGAGACCTTTTTTTAATCTATTACATTTTTGAAGATTTCTTTTCTAGAGACCCCTATTCCAGTGTGGTCAGAAACGAGGAGAAACCCGAAATTGTGTACTAAAATTGAAGGACCAGAGGCAAGAGGATGCTTCTATTATAAATTTAGACTATATTAGTGCAATTTAATCTCGACGCTTAGTATTATTAGAAAGTTTAATCATACTAAGTACTGGGTCTAAATGCTGTAATGTACCGTCCAGTGAATGGCCATTGAAATTAGGGTTCCAGTAGGGAGCTATTTTCACTTTCAAATAATAATTCAAAAAGTGCAGAATATTTGATCGGATCCGGTTAGTTTTTTATTAACTTTTTAATACATTTCGAACTCTTCATTCCATAAAGGGATGCGGATTAAGACAGGCAAAACTGCTCCCAGAGATAAAAAATGTTGAAATTCGTAATTGAAGTGTAAAAAAAGTACGTTTTTCGCCGGATTTAAATCAATTTATCTGGAGTACTTCGTACAAAAAAATAAAAACGTAGTTTTTAGCTTCTTTTGCATGTTAAAAATGTTTAACCACATTTCGCCGACGTATATTGACTTTAATTATCCTTGCGATCCTGTATATGATAAAGTTGTTTGCTAGGATTGTATATCTGATTTTGAACCTTACAATTAACAAAAAAGATGGGGGAAATACAACAAAAAATCCTTCGTTTTTTAAGAATATCTTGTGTACCGACACATCATAAAAAAGGCTAAATACAAATTGTAGCCCTATCAATCCAACAGTAATATCAATACAACAGTAATTTAATAGTTTATTTATTTTTTTAAAATTAGGTTTTGTTTTATTAATTATCATAGTGTTTTCTGTTTGTTAGAAAAGACAAATAATGAAAAACAAAATTGCAATAATAATATTATAAAATGTTGTAATTTGAATATTGAACGAATTAGATAATTTTTACTACTTTTCGTGTAATTTTGCGTAAACAAATATGCAATGTAGAGATTTTGTAAACTTTTTTTAAAGCCACTCCAATTTTTTCTCTAAATTTTCTTTTCATATTTAAAATGAAGACAGTGAACAAATATAGTGCTGGTCCAATTGTCAACAAACTCTCAATTTTCACGAAAATTGCAGAAAGTTAATAATTTCAAAACTACAAATTTGATGATAGAGATTTTTGTCTTAATTAATTTTTTTCAAAAAAATCAAAAATTTAAAATAGTTATGTACAATTTATTAAAGAAACTAGTTGTTTTCCCGCAATTTCTTATAGATGATAATGCAATTTATGACAACTTTCTCAAAATTCGCCCAAAAATTTTTCTTAATTTTTTCCACGAATAGAACAAGGTACGCTTAAATGGGAAATTATCGTTGATCATTCTGAATTTTCGAAAATTGCAAAAGTTAGTAATAATGCGAGAAAGAATGTGTTGTAAGCACTTGCTGTGTATGTGTTAGCATGGCAAGCAAACACCACTAGTTTTGGGATCGTTATTGACACTAAAAATAATCCAAAAACTGGAGGAATAGTTTGGATTTTGTATTATCTGAAATACTCTTAGGAAATACTCGTAGAATCCCAAAAGTATTTTCGGATGGCAGCTTATTTCCAATATCTGTATGAAAAATTAAATCATCATATACATTCGTTGAGTACATCAGGGCTTATACGGAATAAAATATTAAGTACTTGCATATTCTGGAGATACCATTGAGTTATATTTCATAGAAAATAAATGTAAATGATCCAATCTTTGGTCAGCTTTTTCGAAAAGATGTAAATGAACAAGAAATTACTTTCAATTAATGTCGTAAAGCCTTCTTTATATTTGACAAAGTATTGAATCGTTGGAATCTTGAATGTGGAATGATTGTGGAGTTGTTTGGTACTTTTTTCGGAAGTTTCGAAATAAAGTAAATATTCCGAAAATATTTTAAGAAATTATCCTCATTCTTCATAGATTTTTGATAAAATATACTTTGTATTGCAACAAAAATAGAGATGGTTACATTTTCATATTAATGGAAATATGTCGGTATTTTTTTTGCTTAGGATTGTTTTTCGGTTTTCTAAGAAATGCAAACGATCCCAAAATTTATATCAATGCCAAAGTTTTTAAATAATCGGAATTATGGTAGTAAGAAACATAAAATAATTGTTATGGTCTATTTATTCGAGAGAAAGCAAAAGAGCACTAAATTGTTGTCGTGTGGAATGGTAATTCCCAATATGTGCTTGATAAAATATTAAAACCTTGTAAACATTCATATGGGAGTTTGGATTTCATTTGATGAGCAATATTACGAATTTTTATGAATTTAGTATTGGTAGAATGTGAATATTTTGGTATTTGAAAAATCAAACAAGATCCAAATTATTGGTGAGTAACATCGAGATCTCCAATGTGTGCTCGATGAAATAGAAAGTCCGTGTAAACCTTGGACAAATAGTTTGGCGTTGTTCAGTGCTGGCTCGTGCAGAATTCTTGAGAGGAGGATAGAAGTCTTGCTAATAATATTACATTGAATGGAACATACAACAAATTAAATTTCATGAATGTATAAGCGAAATTTACCTTTCCGGTTTCATTACTGGTAGAAGAACTCCGCTTTGTACAGGAGGATATCCACCATTCATGCAGCATAGTGCGCTTTATAAAACGTTTCCTCTTCTTGCCGCCGCAGCGTTGTGCCATACGCGCGCACCTTCATTCAAATATATTCTTTCAAATGTTGTGATCGGCTTCTGGGAGAGATAGATATTCCTTTTTTGATGAGGAGTATAGTATGTTTTCATTCACATTACATCGTATGCGCTTTTTTTAACTCCACATTGCACTATTCGTAGTAGAAGCTCGAATTATGTAGCAATTTTACACTGGCCATTCTGGTTTATTTACATACTATACACACAACGCACTAAGTTGGCTGCTCTGAAGCGATCGTTCAAACGACCATATTGCGGATTTAATGCCCTCCCTTACGTGGCAACGACTATGCGCCTGTGATTACAACCTTGGGAGGGCGAAAGGGAGGCGAGAGAAGGGAGAGGGAGGAGGCTCGGTGAGCGTGGTGGGGGGGGGGAGGGAAGGGGAGGAGGAGAGATGTATGGGCAGCGTGGAGACGAGGCCGCCGGGGGCGGCTTGGCGCGCGTGTCTGGGAGCGCTCGCTCCGAGAGGCACCACCCGAATTTCCAGTGGCAGCGGCGGAGGTAGCGGCGCGGCCCGGGGACATTAAAGGCCCCATACACGAGCGGGATCTCTTAAAGGCGTGGCCCGAACAGTCCAAACCTTGAGGAATGTCCCAGCGTGGGTGGCGGATTCCTTGAGGCCGCGAAGGCGACGAGAGGCCGAAAAATCCTGAACCAAATTCAGTTCTTTTTGGCCTTGAGACCCGAAATCCCCGATCTCTTGATCACGTGTGTGGTTGATGCTTAGTCGCTCTTGATGATTTCATGTTACCAGTCATGTCTCGAGAATTTTTAACAGGATTTATTCAAAAAATTGAGAATGAATCTTGCTTTTAGCAAGAGAATTTTAAAGATCATCAGGATCGAAATAAACATTTCAGTACTACTGTGTTGACCTGGAAAAAATACTGAAGTTATTTTCCTCAAGGATTTCCTTTAGGAAAAAAACGCCCCATGTGGAGAAGGGCTCGAAAGAGAAAATCCCCAAGGAAAGGCCGGTGACTTTTCCCTTGAGGATTTCCTGTACTCAATGACTACCTTTAGTCTGTAGTTGCACGTTAGTGAGTGCATGTTTTATTCTGATACGTGACAGTGTTTCTCCACTGAATTATAAGATCCGGCGTCGACCTACAAGTCGGCTTGTAGGAATTTTCACGCCAGGTATCTCCCCAGCGGGACGCCGCCGCATTCAAGATAAGCTCTGTTAGGGGAGCGGATATGGCAAGGAAGAGGAAGGGAAGATTGTGCACGGTCTGAGGTTTAAGATTTGGCACTCATCTGTGATGGTAAACTCCCGATCCTGATCAGCCAGTCTGAAGAAATCCCCTGCAGGCAAAGACTGAATTCGACCTAGCTATCTAGCTAGAATCTAAAATCCGCCACCGTCGGGACTCAGAACTCTAGAGTTGCTGCTGAGTCAGCGGCAATGCTCTGAGCTAAACTCAGCAAGTAGATTACATGGGAATTTTGACATCTAGAGTGAGCGTTCTACAGACCGGTTACTCCGATCGGTCAATTCCCTATCTCCTCACGTCAATTCCAGAAGGATACCGAAGCAGAAACGACGGAATACGTAATGCGCGCCAAACACTCAACCTCGGGGCCAAACCATGATCTGATCAACCATTTACACATGGGCCATTCCGCATGATTTCTACAGGCTCATTTAGTTTATTCTCATTTTTATTCCCTTCCTATGTCCCTTCACATCCTTCTCGTCTACATTTTCCCGTCCTTTCCTTTTTTCATTTAGGTATTCTCTTCAGATTTCTCCTTTTCTGCTCCTTTTTTGCATGTTTTGTTGCTTTTCTTGCTGATGTCTCTGCAGTGCCTCTGACCGGGAGATCTTGGGTTCGAGTCGCAGGATTTTCGACACTAGCAAGAATTGTAATGGCCGGCTGCTCTGGTCGGTAGTTTTCCGTGGTTTCTCCGATCAACACTAGCGAATGCCGGAGCAGTATCTTAACAGACGGACCACTTTACTTCCTCTCTCCATCACCCTAACAGACGGACGTGCGCGATTTTTCCTTCGTCTTTGCCCAATCATCGCCCTTACTTGCACACTCTTACATATACATGCACTACACTACCAGACATGCCGGGAGGCCAGTCGGGAGCTTTGAGCTTGTCTCACCATCCAGCGCGGGAATATCATCGTTATCTCACAAGGGAAGACACGTGCACTACAATTACGGAACTAATTACCTTAGAGGCCAATGCTCCCGGAATCATTAAATCAATCAATCATCTCTGCATTTTCTAGAATTTCCCTCATATTCATACAGCGTTGTTTTTCGGTTCACTATTTGCCACATTGGCGCATTCTGACGGCGGACAACGAAATATCAAAGACCGGTAACACTCAGGGCTACTAGGTGACTACACTTTTAAAGCTAAAATGTTAGTACAAAAATTTAACAGATAGCAACACTATGAGGGAAATGTATATTTCCAATAACGTCTATAAAGTTCTTTGATTTTTGATCTGTAAACTGGATTTCATTAATTTCGAATATAGAATTTAGTCTGTGATGGGCTTTTCCCAAATAAAGTAGTCAAATCTATTTTTACTCCTCGCCTACTACATACATACGTAGCAAATATTAGGTATTGTAATGCTTCGGCAGAAATCAACGATTTTTTAGAAAATATCGTATTGTGGGGTTCTGGTAACAAAAAAATGGATCAATCATGTTCCTAAATGTAGCTAATTACTAAGTAAATATTATGTAATCAGAATCCGTATTTTGTGGGTCCTTGGTACCGAAAAATTGACAGCAAAACGTCTGCTTGTCTCGTGGATGGTCAACGCTAGCTTTTATACCTCACTATTTTTTTCCAAAATTGATATTCCCTGATTAATTTTAACGAACTCGACTGTGAAACGGATATTTTGATAAATGGGGGGAACATTACACGGTGACTCACGTTTTCAAAATGTTCTCAAAAGTGGCTAAGTTTTTTAAAATTTAACATCGACCTCTGCGTAAAGGACGCTTAAAAATGGTGCAGGTCTCCTTTCCGTGAGCATCTTTGAATTTTCGAAAATTTCTTAAATTCAAAATGTTATCGGCATCTTTCTACAACTATAAGAATGAAGACATAATTTTCTTCTTAGTACAATTTATTTCAATTTACAGTTTGAACACACAATTTTTCAAAAATGTGAGTAGTTTTTGGGTTTCGGGCGCGAAATTATGCAATTTTGAAACAATTTTTTTTCAAACACAGCTTCAGTTTTTAATTTTTTCACAGAACAAGAGAAACTGAAAAAATAGCACAGGGCTTATTTTCGTTGAACTCTCTGAATTTTCGAAAATGGCAAAAAGTTTGCATTGCAAAAGTATGATATTAGAGATAAAGATTGTCCTAACTGAAACGTTCTAAAAAAATTGATCGTAAACAATATTTTTGAAAAAGTTGTGTAGTTTTCGCGTAATTTCTGCTTAACATAAATGAAGCATGAAAATGAAAACGCTTTAGTTTTTTTCTTTTTTCCCTTTCTTTATATTTTTCCATGCCTAGAACAACGAAAGCTTAAAACAACGGGGTAGGTGTTATTTTCTTGAATTTTTCTATGAATTTTCGAAAATTGTGAAATTAAGAAATAATGCGAGAAAATGTATGCTATTGTAGCTCCTAATTTATTGTTGTCAAGCATATTTGATTTACGCCTACTTTTACTTTTACTTTTACTTTTACATTATGAGTTGTTCAAATGCAGCAGGCACATTACGTATGTTCCCCTCTCATTGCAATGGCACGTAATCACGTTCAATATCATCCCCACCAGTACCAATAGCATCACTTGTACAACCGCCCGTTGATTCGGCATGGACGAGGGCCCAAGTAGACCCTCGCCGCCGCCGCCGCCGCCGCCGTCGCCGCCGCCAACCCCGTTCCTCTTCAGTTCGTCGCCCTGCAGTTCTTTTAGCCTTTCCACCCACGAGGTTGTTGTCGGAGCAGAATAAAGTGGAAACCCTACCCAACCTTCTCCACCTCCCGACAGCTGTCTAGAATTACGGATGGAAACTTTTTTAAAACCGATATATCGATATCAGAATACAACATTGGAAGGACAAAACCGGTATGTACCAAGTATTGGATCAATACACCAATATATCGATGTCGTACATGTTCTCGCAGAAAATGCTTCACAAGGTGAAAACGAAAAGGGTTTATTGAGAGTTTATCCCTACTAAAGAATGCAATGAAGCACATTTGATTTATAATAAAAAAACGTGAAAACTATATCTGACGTTTGGGGAAGTATTGAGTTTCAAAATCTTTACACGAATCATTTACTTGCGTTGACTACTTAGAATAAGTGTTTTAACAAGCGTGGTTGGCAACATTAGAAAACTAGAAACGTTAACTACCGATAAATTGAAAACATATTTGGGTCAACAAATATCCATAGATTGTGAGATTCGGCGACGACATATCATACGACGTACCGTACGACGTACCGTACGACGTACCGTACGACGTACCGTACGACGTACCGTACGACGTACCGTACGGCGTACCCTACGACGTACCGTACGACGTACCGTACGGCGTACTGTACGCCATACAGTACGGCGTCTGGTCCAGCAGGAAACTGGCCCAAGTGGGACAAACTCGAAGCTACGATTGCTCTCCCGACATGATAGTGTGGGGCATGTAAGCGTGCGCGTTTCTAAAGGAAGGGAAATGGTCCAGGATAAGGAACTGCTAGGGTACTGCTCCAGCATTCGCGTGATATTGATCGAAGAAATTACAGAAGACTACCGAACAGAGCCGGCCACAAGAATTCTCTTCCAGACCGTGGCCAATTCCCACCTAGTTATAATGTTAATAACGTCGAAAACGCGCCCCCTTCGATACTCGAACTCTAGGATCTCCGGGTCACAGACGCTTCGGTGGCATCGGTTACTAAACGGCTCTATCTTAACAGGTCTGCCATTCCAACGTTTTGTGTAAGATACGTATCCAGAGACAAAGCATTGAGCACCGTGGCTGTTAGGGACTCGAAGGAGGGCGTCCTCCCTAAGAAGACAATCGCAGGAAAAGATGCAGATGAAATTTACACTAAGTCGACTCATTTCATTTGTGAATACCACTAGGTATGAGGACGGATTTAATTACTTGCGCCGGTGTAAGCGAACCATTCGTGGTTTTAGAATCAGCCACATCGCTATCGTGATGCCGTCCATCGCTGGTGCATGTTGGTATTAGGTCTGTGTTACACGAGCGTTATGTTGACGCGCGTTTGACGCACGGTAAGTAATATGCGTTGTAGATTAACACTATTTTGCAGAACGGCGAAAGCGCTGATGCGCCGTTTAGCATACGATAGTGTTATAATACTTTAACGCAACGCTTGTGTGCAGGGTCCCTTAGGGTTTCATTAGGCAGGGTCCGCGCCTTTTAACGTAAGTTACAAATATTTCCATTTCATCATAATTGGTAAATTACTGTTTTGTTTCTTACATATATTAAAAAAAATTCGTGAAATCAATTGCACTTTCCGTTACCTTTTTTTATTTTGTATTTACTTATGTACGTCAAAAACAGTTAAAAATTCTGTGTGACGTGCTATGGGGAAAAGTTAATATAAAGTTACATTTCAAATTAAAAGTGGTTTTAGGCAAGCATTAAAATACCATTATTACAAATCGGTCGTTCAATACACTCTATTTGTATAATATAAAGTTTAAGTAAAATATAAAGTTTGTTCAAGAGAGCAAACTTTCATTTTCCCAACACTGCATTTACCTTAAACTGATCGACGATAAGCAATACCATTTTGCAAATTATATAAGTACATTTATGTTCCTTGATTTCTTTATTCATTAAAATGGATTTTGTAAAACTGAGTTTTGGGGCGACAGTTTACCCAAAAAATCTGCGTCCGTGAAGTAGCGATATACTTGCCATTAAGATGCAATTGGTATGATGTCAGAGATAAATATCTATTCCACATAGACAATTATTTTTTTAACAATTCACCTTAAATTCTAAATATACACTTTTTGAGTTTCAAAAGCATTGTGGAAACGCGGCGATATATCTGTGATCCGATAGAATTTCAGGTCGTCGTCTTCACATAGAGGCTGTCGCCGGTCAGTCGCCGGTCAGTCGCCGGTCAGTCGCCTGCTGCTGACGCCTCTGCAACCGTCGGTGTCGTCGACCCCCCTCATCCATTGCCTTCCCTCCATCTTCTTGCCTTGCTTCTCCCTTGGTTCTTCATCAGATTGTCAGAGTCAAGGGAAGTCGAGTATTCTGGGCACGGTTCGAATTTTTGAAGAAAAAAAATGTTTCACCTCGCAGCAGTTTGAAACTGTTCATCATAAATTCATTAAAGACGAATTGTGTTCCAAAAATCCATAAAGATCGTATATTCGTAACACTTACTCCTTAACAGTAATATGCGGAGTGAGCTGCAGAACCTATAGACACTAGTACATGAGCGAGCTGGTTTTTATCCCTCTATATCGAAAATCCTCTGAAAGTTTTACAATTTTTCTTATAAATGTTTAATATGGTACTTTATATTAGAGATGAATACCTAGATTTTTTATGACATCACTGGGTGACTTTTGAAAAATGTAAACACGTGGGTTATGTACCACATTTTCTTCAGAATTTTTCCATTTTACATGAAAA